TGGACTCTGTGTCTAAATTGACTATTACACTACTATACACACAGAGACTGGTTTTCCAAGTCAAGGCTGCAAGTGTTATGTGTAAAAAACCTCCCAAAACCATGCAACAGAATCAAAGAGTTTATTGATTTTGTGCATAAATTGTAAAAAGAAAATACTCATTTAAAGCAAGGAAGGCTCCACGTGAGTGCTATGGGTAGTGACAAGTGGCTGAGGGGCAGCGCCGGTGCATCCACTGGCAGCCGTTTATTCACTTCAACGTCTCGGCGGCAGCTTTAGCAAACATGAGGGAAGGAATTAGTGCTCGTGGCTGGGCACGTTATAGCCAAGGTGGCGGCCAAAAGGGAACTGGGCAAAGAAGGCCTTGGCCATTTCATCGATCCTGTCGTAGGCCCCCAGGGTCCGGAAATATTCCACATAGGACCAGAAATCGTTGGATGAGAAGGGCCAGTATGGCAAGGCTACAGACTCCTGGTGGAGGTCTAAAAATATAAAATATTGCAGATTACCAAAATACAAAGCACTTTTGTTGAAAGCTTGGACATGGGAGCCAACGTGGTTTGGGGTTGCAGGTTCCCTTGGGGGGCTTGTGGGCTCCTCTGGCATGAGAGAGGCAGGCAGAGACATTGAGCGCTCCACGCCCTGCTCCGCAGGAGATGAAACCAGTGTCCCCTGCTCCAGGTGTACCAGGAATGACAGAGTGGGACAAGAGGGGGAGCAGGTATGAAGGGACACCATCAGCATTTGGGGAAATTCAAGAATTCATGGGGCTGCCTTTAATTCTAGAAGGCTGCTGGTTATTTAAAAGCAAGGAGCCATTGCAATAGCAATAAGTTTTTCCTCATTCCACATCATTTCCTCTGCCCAATATAAAAATATAAGGAATACGGTGCCATCATCTATGCTGCGCCCCTGCAGCCGTCCGCTCTGCCCGCAGAGCCAGGGGAAGGGGCCATGCAGTTGCTCCCCCACCACCTCAGCAGAAAGGCAGGCTGGCTAAATACAGCAGAAGACAGGGATGCAGGATCTACCCCCGGCTCCTGGGGACTGGGTCCGTGCTGTCCCAGCATTTCCTGGGACCACAGCGTTGTGCCTCTTCTCAGCGGGCCACAGGAATGGGCTAAGGAAATTGAGAGGAAAGGCATTGCCACTTGGAAAACAGCTGCTGCATTTGTGCCTGCTCTAGGAATATCTGAGAAAACGTGAACTACTCGTTGAATCAAGATTTCAAATTCATCAGGAAGAGGAAAACAAAATCAATTCTGAATGCAGGAGCTGGCCATCCTTGGACCCAAATCTAGGCAAACACAGAAGCATATATAAAATGTAAACACTTGCTGAGACCACATACTTACAAATGTCTTTCTGTACAACAGAGCTAAACCCAGTATTTTGGTTTGATTTAAAGCCCATTTAAATAAATGGGAGCCATTCCACTCACCAAGCTCAGCTTGGGACCTGGGAATTAAGAACCTTCAACAATCCTATTGTCAGACCTTAATTTTACGGCGTCAAGTTTACAGCGCGCAGGCACAGATGGCATAAAACAAATCAAATGAACCAGCCAAATACTGTCTGCAGGGGAGAATTCACTGTTTATACCAACTGACCTTAGATTCACTTTGCAGTCTGCTGCTTGGCTCAGTGTGAAAGAAAACCATAATTGTTGGTAATGAGAGCAACAGGATACTCCTGAACAAGGTTTTATTTTCAGATTGACACACACTCTCATAACTGTCTAAGAGGTAGCCACAGAAATATTTGCTGTGCACAAATACAATAGCACCCTTCAACTTGTGAAAAGAAAGATGATGCTTTCAAAAGATTTTAAAGCCATAAGGAAATATAATGGAACATAGGGAAAACATTTTGAATTAAAAGTAATCATATTAGCCCTTTTTCTGTATATATATTTCTACTTTCCATATCTGTTATAATACTCTCCCTGCATATTTGTAGCTGTGCACTCAGGATGCTGCTGGCTATCCTGCTGGTTACACCAACTGAGATCTACACCAGCAATAGCAGTACCTTGTTATTGCAGATACTGCTGTGCAACTTCGTTCTCAGAAAGAATTCTGTCTGAAAACACTAAAGAGAGGTTAACTAATATAATCTTCAGTAAGTCAGTGTAAACATCATTAGGATGTTGAGGCTTTTTTAATCAAAGACAAACACTAATCCAATGGGCTAATCACGCAAAGTGACGGGAACCACAGGGTAGCTGTGCGAAGGGATTTATTCCAACATTTCTTTAATTGGATTTGTGGCAATTTGTAAATTTTAAGCTTTTTGTCATGAAAGTCGGTATTTCTTGCCAATAACTAGACACACATATAGTATTACTGTTCAGGACAGACAAAATTCTCAGATATCTAAGATGTTTATAATTCTGATGCTTTCTAGTTATAATTTTGTACAACAGAGTGACTTGACCATAACCCCTTTTCATTTTAAGACTTCAAGTATATTAGCTCTATTATTAGATATTAATATGCCCGCTTTTAATAAATTTTAAAGAAACTTCTAAAAATTCTTTCTCACCAGAACTATATGAAAACACTTCTACAGCTCACTGAAGTTAGCAAGCGTTCCTGCTAATATCACTGCTGGTGATCAGGCCTAGGAGTTACAAATTACCCTTCTAATTGTTAGTGATACAAAGGAAAGAAAAAGACATTAAGAATTACCATCTCCATCCTGGATTGATCGGGCATCTGTAAATAAAGAGGAAACTCATCAGTACCAACTCACGCACAGAAGAACTTTCTGTTAATAAAAGGTTTGCTGTCTAGCCAGAAGCTGATAAGTTCCTTAATGTGCACATAGGACCCTCTGTATAGCCAAATGTTTTTTGTTTCTTGAACAGCTGAATAAGGAATTCCCCATTTCCAGTCACTCACTGCTACAAACCAAATACTCTTAACTAACAGTCAGAGCAGTTGCCATTAGTACATGAGCGGTGTCTGATACTAAATAGAAGATACTGTATCACTATCAAAATATTTCAGGCTGCTTGGAAAAATAAATGAGAATAAATTCAGAAGTAATCTTACCTGTTAGGATATTCATCAGCATACAGAAGAAAAATAAGCCAATAAATGTCATCTTTTCTGCAAGATACTGCTCGTGTTTCTGAAAAATAATCTGTACAGCTGGGGATTATTACAAAAGATTAATATTTATGCAAAGTCTGTTATTTCTTCTTTTATTAGAATAATATCTTCCAAAACAGATTCTAATTATTGATTTAGGCATAACAAGATCCAGTTACATTTCCTTACAGTTTTTGAACTGCAACACAGAGTATTAAAAGAACTACAGCCCTGAAGTGTATACTGATTTTTTTTTTTTTTTTTTTAGGTGGCATAAATTCAAAAGGCTCCTCTGAACTGACATGAAACTAAGCATCTCTGGAAATGTTTTATTTTGTGATTAATTTAATTTCACTTTAGAAATTACCTCTCTCCCTCCTCTTTTCTTGTTCTTGCAGCAGTAAAGGTCTGTAGCTCCGAGTCAGATACAAAACTCCAAAAGGATTTCTATTGCCTTAAAATAGCAGTGTTGTTTAAGGAAGGGGGTGGGGGGGTAAGAGAGAAACGTCACTGAGTTACTACACCAATCTGATTTCGTTGCCTTCAGGTAGAGATATTGTAACTGCGCACATTTGCATTATATTTCATTGCTGTCCGTGGAAGAGACAGGAGACAGTTTCTGAGAGGAAATAAGAATCAACTTTTGCAGTAACATTTTTGTATGTTGAAGACAGGGGGAGAAAATCCAGAAGCAAATTCAGTGATCTTTTGCTGCCCTCCTGATTTTCTTTCATTCTTCCCCTTCAGAAAAATAGATTTTTAGAAATATTATTTGAGCAAATTGCTAAGAGGATCTTGAGTTCCCTGTCCAGCTGAGGCACCACTAACACTTGACACTGATTTATGTTCTTACTTGGGATCCTTAAAATCTAGATCTTAAAGTGTACACAAGCACCAAGAGCCCACTGAAATCAATAGGCTTACTTTAAGTAAAGTAGGTTCCCAATGACCTCAGCTATGGTGATGGTGCGGGTACTGCAGCCTTCAAAGAGGGTTGATAAGGTTCATTAAAATGCACTTTAACATTGTGTTGATTTTTTGGAAAGATTCCTCTCCCAGTACCACACAGGTGCTTTGGGCGCCACCCTGTGCAGGTTGCTGAACAGATCCAGCACTTCTAAAAGCCTGGAGAGGAGGAGCAGTTTGGAGAACATTCACTTGATGCATACATCTCGATTTATTTTCTTTTAGCACAAAACTCCTGGTGGCAGCAGGTGTGGTTAGGGACTAAGATGTAGCAGGAAGAGTTCTGCAACTCATGGGGACGTGTGGGGATTTCCACACTCCTAGAAGACGTGACCATTCAGGTCATTTTGTCAAACCTGGCAGCTGTTTCTGGATGGCACTGCTCTGGAAAGGAGCTGCTGAAACTCCAGTGCAGAGCTCACTGCTCATGGTCACACTGCAATGATCTGAATGTATGGTTAATACAAGCTCCCCTGCTCCCTCTCACCTGGGAGTTTTCAGTTGCCTTTACTCTGAATCTGCAGAATCGTTTCTCTATCTTGATTCCAGACACCTCCCATCACTGCATTTCCCAACTGCATGTGTGAGACCTGACACTGGTGCCTTTGCACTACCACATCCAGTTACCTCACGCAGGGAAATTCTGTGTGCTCTCACAAAGTCCTGGAGCAGAGAGACCCAAGTGAGTGGCCTTGCAGGAGGCCCCAGCTTTGCTGGAGTTTATTCTTATCTGCACACAGAGTTAGATAGTCCTGCCAAGAATTAATTAAAGAAGTTCTGAGCAAGGGAAGAAAAAAAGAATGCTTTGTAGGACACCAAGCTGTGCCAACTCTTGTGTAGGCTGAAAAGAAAAATATTATGAAAGCAGAACCTATTCCATCTTTGAAAGGCTTTAATCCTCCTGTTTAATATTTCCTAGGCCTGCAGGAGGGATCCTACATCAGCCACATACTGCTGGCACCCCTGCCCCGCTCTCCTGGGTTAGGGCAGCTGCCAGTGGGAGAAGGCACTTCCCTGGCTCAGTGGAGTCCTGTGGTGCAGCTGTGCACGGGGGTCCACCCACCAGCACTGCTTGCAAAGCCAACAGCACTTTCCCTTTCCCTGCCTAATCTGTATATCCTATTCAAATAAACTAGGAGAAGCACTGACATATGCTAATACACACACACAAAATGGTTATTAGCTGTAATTAAATAATTAGCACAAAGCAACTTCTGTGCACAACCATCAGTAGGATTTGGTTTTGGCAGTTGATACGGGAGATGCAGTTCCAAGTGGGAGGTGAGATAGCATGCTTTGAATGATGACAAAGGAGAATAATGGTGTTCCTGACACAGCCACAACATGCAGCTCTCCCCTCGAGGAATTAATGGTGCTGTGAGAAGATTACAAAGTCATTAAGGTTATCAGATTTAGGATCACTCAGGTCACAATGTGGTCTGCTACAACGCTGATAGGTCTTAGGAGAATTCATGTAGCTATTGAGGCTCACACTGACATACACCTTTCCACCTACCTCCTTTGCAGTATCTTATTCTGTCTTTTCAAGCTTGTAGCTACCTGCTTCCAGAGCTAGAAGGATCACAGGTATGACAGTCTTTCAGCAATTGCAGGCTTTCAGTTTAACTCATATCAAAGTTTTCCATTTGCTAAAGCACCAGTTGGAGCTGGAAATAAATTCTCAGGGTTTCCATGCTAAAGGAGCCCTAGGAAATTAAAAAAGAAGATGAGAATTAGCATTTAAAACAGTTGTATCAGGGAATACAGTCGAGAGATATAGTTGTTTTAAATGTTAATTTTAATCACTTTTCCACCAAGGCTGTACATGACTGCTGTTTCCCTCCACTGGGTTTGTCCATTTTAAACACAGCATTAAACTACAGAGAACTGATGAGTTGGATCTGGCATCATAATTCAGAAGGTGTTAAATAGGAGAGCACTACTTCAGTTGCTTGAAAACTGTGCGTGGTGGGTTCAGTGTGCCAAACAGAACATAGTGTCTTCTGCAACCTACCAGAAAGCATACTGTGCACTGACTTACAGCATTTGTAATATGCCACAAGCTCATTCATTCCCCATCGTCCTTTCTTTTTGCTCTAGGATCCCTTTCCTTTTTCAGACTCCACACAGAAGGCAATTGAAGTAACAGCACTCTGTGCCCAGTGCAAGCACTGGTACAGATCAGTTAGCAGAACCCTCCACTAATAGTTGCTGCCCTGCAGGATTCTTCACTGCTGAACAGTAATTGGAGATGTCACAGTGCCTACAAATGCAAATTTGGCTCAGCAGCAACCACATTTCAGTAGATATTATAGCAGTTAACAGGGCAGCTGCTGGAAGAGTCCAGTATTTTAATTTCTACTCATTTGGGAAAGAAATTCACTGTTCTAATATTTTTCAGAAAGGTTCATAAAGTTCAAAACACTGTTATGCTCGCTGGCAGCAAGTTTTTCAGGTATCTTATTCTAAAGTTTGCATTAAACTTTTTAGATAAGGCCACTGACTCATAAAAGCTTTGCTACATTATAGAAGGGGCTGATGGTAGTGAGTTTATCCCACCCACCTGTCCCAGGAGCATCCAATCAATATGTACTTGTTGTAGACGGCTCTCAAAGCCAGAAAATCCCTCATACATCAGTCACTCTGTCAGAGACAGAAATCAATTGGAGCATAGAGGATGTTCCCTCAGGAATAGAGGAATGCAGTTTGGGCAGCGCAGTTGTTTGCCTGACTTGCTCCCTAATGGGGAGCAGTCCTGGAGCTGCCAACCCAAGGAGCCCGTTTTCAGGTGGGCCCATGGCTAATGGGCTGTTTTACACAGAGCCAACCCCTGTGGAGCAATTCAGCATTCCTTGCTGATTAACTAGAAACAAAGATAAAGGAATACAGAAAAGCACATTTATAGATGCCTTTGTTTTCTCCATAGCTATATTAGACTGGTATTACACACACAAAAATATTTCTGTATTAGACTGGTATTACACACACAAAAATATTTCTGTAATCCACCAGGCACTGAAAAAACCTGTACATTGTTTTAAAGAAAGAGTATTTCCTATTTAATCAAAGGTCAAAAGCACGTGCATGCAGAGCTGTGTAAGAAATTAAATGGCACTTACAGCTGCATCTGAAGTGCTTTGTCCTTGGGTTGAGCAGACAAAGTGTTCTATGTAGGGCTGCAGCACTTTTGCACATCAGAAACAACCAACAGCAGTGATATATAGATCATCCCCAGGAGACACAAATGTTTGTATTTCCTCTAGCAATTTGGTGCTAATAGTACAGGTCAAGAGAAGATTCTTCTGACTGGAATATGATTTTCTGAGGCAGGTGTGAATTGCCCTAGATCTTTCAGGTACTCACAGCTTCATTTTCTTTCTTTGGAGCTCTGCTTGGCTTTCTGTGAATAGAGAAGCTCCCAAATTTTCTAATGGCACTGGGTTACTCAGGATAGTAAAGCCCAGGGCAGACAAAGAGGAATCAGGTGAGGACCTCACAGTACCAAGCAGCTGAATAATAAAATGGCATAACAGTAAATGTAAAATGAAGAACCTGGGTAAATATCTCCATCTTTAAGTGCCCATGGTATCTGACTATTCCCACTCAGAAACTAGATTTGGAACTACAGTAGATAATTCTGTCAAGGTGTTGTTCAGTGCTCAGTCACAGACAGAAAGGCAAATCAAAGAGGAAGAGGGAGAAAAAAAGCACAAGGCATCATTATGCCACTGTGCCACACTTGCCCACTTTTTGAGTATTGCATGCTTTTTGGTTTCACCATCACAGGAGGACATGATAGAACAAGAAAAGATACGAAGAAGAAGGTGAAGTAAGTTCACAGTCAAGGACTATCTAAAGCAGACTAGGACTCTTCAGGCCAGGGATGGCTCTTCAAAGGGATGAAGAGACCTTGATTTCTACCAAGAAGCAGCAAATTAGTCTGGCAGTGGCTTGTTCAAAACAAAAGGTGGTGGGGTTTGATACAGTTAAGCTGTGGCATGTCTTGTCATAATATATTATCAACTACACAGCATCCTGGCTGAGGATGTCTGAGCCTGGCCTGGGAACAGAGTGTGACCAAACAGCACTACACTTCTGTGCTGTGTCTTATTCTCCTCAGGCATCATCTGCTGCTGGGCCAGGTGAGCTCCCAGGCCAACTCTGTGGTTGTTTTACAATCTGTTTTACTGAAATATCACATATTTCCAGTTCTTGTGAACAGACATTTTTCCTGCCATCCTGATTATAGTAGCCCCTGAAAGCAATTGGAGAGACAGCAGATGGATTTGGATAGTTACAAAACTATTAACAGAATTGTAGTGCAATTAGAGAGAGCCAAGTTAAAATGAACCCCTTGCACATGTGGTAGAGCTAACTGTCAAGGTGAAGGTCAGATTTACAAGTCAGAGTTAAGGAGTAGCTCTACACTTACGTAAGTCAGACTTGAGAGCAAACAAGAAAGTATTTGTCCACATTTATTTCAACTTATTTTAACCTCTATCTGAAGAAAGGTTATATTTGTAGATGGAAATGAGTTTCCAGGTGTTCACAGGTAGCAGGCAGTGCTGTATGCAGCAGCAACCAGTGAAGCCAAAGCAAGGGAGCAGTTCCACTGGCAGCAGGACTAATGCAGCTTGGCTCCTGATGAGATGCCCATGCCAGGTACCCCAGGGCCTCTCCCCAGGAACTCCCCAGTATTCTCAGCTCCTGAAAGGGGCTTTCAGCTCTCCCCCACTGCTCCTTTGCCTCCACGGGCATCATTGCCAGCTCCAAGCACCAGGTTTGGCTTTCTCAAGGGTCCACACAATGCTGCTTGCA